GCTGCAGGCCCACATGACGCTGCACTACTGCATGCAAAGCCCCACGCTGCAGCAGCAGCAGCAAATGGCGCAGCTGCTGCTGCCGCTGCTCAACGCCCACCGCAGCAGACTGCGTCTCAGTGCAGAAAAAGGAATTCCGATTCTCGCTCCTGATGAACATATTTTGATTTGGTTTTTCATGGAAATCTTCGCGAGAGAAAACAAACTTGTTGGAAAAGAAAGGCCCCTCAATCTCTGGCGTTTTCCAGAACCCGCGGGGGCCCTCAACATCCTCGACTGAGGCTAGGGTTTAGGGTTTAGGGTTTAGGGTTTGCGCTTGCGGGCTCCGCGCGGGCGCGCGCTCCGCGCATTCCGCGGCCGGACGCAGCTCCGCGGACCCCAAACCCCAAACCCTAAACCCTAAACCCTCTGCAGTAGTTCCTTTCTTTCTTCTTTTGCTGCTTCGCGCCGTTCAAATTTTCCATTTGTTGGCTTCCTGCGGGTGACAGGTTTGGGGTGTACGTACACCACACCTGCGCGCACCGCAGGTGTACGTACACCCCGCGGCGGCGCCGGGAGGCAGGTAGGCGGGGAATCGGAAACAGTTTGCGGACTTTTGCAATTTCAAATGATTATAATGATTTAATTGTGTCTCCAAATCCAAATGATTATAATGATTCAATTGTGTTTTAGTTCACTATCTGTGCGCGCCGCCGCGCCGCGCGGCGGTGCGGCCTCTCGGGTGTACGTACACCTCAGCGTGGCAGAGGCAAGGGAAACCTCACCAAATTTCGCGCCTCGTTTTGTCTCGCTTTGCATGTATATGAAATTCTTTTATTTTCTCCTTTTCAACTTTGCTTTGCCAAGCAACTGCTCCTTTTGGCTTTTCCATTTGTTCAAAAATAAAAATAAACAGAAGTCCCAGCTGCCCCACTGGGCTCACCCACACTTAGCAGTGGTGCATGCAAGTATAGCCGCGCATGCATTCATAGCCTCGAATGCATGCAAACAGCTCCGCATGCATGCATGCAAGCAGCTCCGCATGCATGCACAGAAACAGCTTTGCCTGCTTTGCATGCATGCGCCCATAGCCTTGCATGCATGCGCTCATAGCTTTGCACGCATACACCAGTAGTTCTGCATGCATACAGACTGGCATGCATGCAAAGAACGTCGCATATGCGCAAAGAACGCTGCATGCATGCATGCAGCAGCTCTGCATGCATGCACGCATGCATGCAACGGGGCTGGTCAAGCGGAGCGGGCCTTTGCGGGGCTTTGCTGCAGCCAGAGGGCCTGCTGTTTGTGCTGCGGGTTAGTTTTGGCGGGGAGTCCGAGGCAAAGAAGAAAAGACAAAGTGGCGAAAGTGGCAGCCAAGGCTGTGCAGCCACTGAGGCCCACGCTGGGATAAAGAAGAGTTAAAAGAAATGAAGACAGACACGCGCTGGCCGGCTTCGAGGTGTACGCCAGGGTGTACAGACAGCTGAACGTCGACGGCGTCGATATCTCCGCCACCACCTGACGAGGTGTACGTACACCGCAGCCCCATGCACTCGCGCCGCCTTCAGGCAGCAGCATTTACTTGTTTTATTTTAATTCGTTAAGCTGCAAATAAATGCTCTTTTGGATTTAAATGGCAATTGCAAATATACACAACGGTAGCACTCTCTTGCGCTGTGATTCAGGTGGGTTTCGGGACTTAGGGTTTAGGGTTTAGGGTTTAGGGTTTAGGGTTTAGGGGTGCTGCTTCTTCCTCAGTTCTGCCGAGCACTTGTCAATAAAATATCTTCAAATGGAACTTTTTATTTTTCTTTTTTTTAACTTCCCCTCTGTCTACAGATTGGCTCTGCTCGTGGCTCAAGACCCCAACTCATTCAATTTCCTTTCATTTATTTGTTTATTATTTACTGAGTTGTTATTTTAATTGAAGTTCTCTTTTATGATTTATTTATTTATTTATTATTTGCTGAATTTGGTTTTAATTGCTTTGATTAGAGGCACCCACCAAGGGAAGAGACACCAAAAGCCCTCCGACGCAAAAGTGGAAAAACAAAAGCCACAAACAAGTCGAAAAGAGCTGTCCATACACCACAGCGGTGCAGCAACCCAGCAGCAGCGTCAGACAAAACGAAAGTCCTTTCTGCATGCATACAGCAGCGGGGTGTACGTACACCTGAGACAACTGGGGTGTACGTACACCTGGAACACACCGAGTGGGGTGTACGTGCACCTGGAACACATGGGGTGTACGTACACCTGGAACACACGAGGTGTACGTACACCCGGAACACACCGAGTGTACGTACACCTGGAACACACACCAAGTCTACGTACACCTGGAACATATGGGGTGTACGTGCACCTGGAACACACGGGGTGTACGTACACCTGGAACGCACGAGGTGTATGCACATTTGGGACACAAAAGGTGTACGTACACTTGAGGCAAACGAGATGTACGTACACCTGGTGCACATGGGGTGTACGTACACCTGGGACACACGAGCTGTACGTACACCTGGGACACGTGGGGTGTACGTACACCTGGGACAATGGCCAGGGCCAAAGCAAGGAGATCCAAAAATGTAAATGCAGAAAAACCAAAGCTAGGCAGTTTGCAAACCCTAGCTAGCCACGAGCTCAATAAACTCCCTAAACCCTAAACCCTAAACCCTAAACCCTTTGCTTACTATTGCAGCAACCCCTCCCCAAATGTCAGATATCAGGCCCCAGCCAACGCGGCCTATGAGGCTGGCAACAGCAGCAAGACCCCCGCCCAGCGCAGTCATTCCAAGGTCAATAAGAGCTGCTGCTGCCCCCAGTTGCTGCTGCTGCTGCTGCTGCTGCAGGTGGTGCTGCAGGTGCTGCTGCAGCTGCTGCTGCAGGTGGTGGTGGGGGGGCGCTTGCTGCTGCTGCTGGCGTGCTGCAGCAAGTGCTGCTGCTTCGGGGTCATATGTGAGGTGGGGCCCCACAAGAGTTGCTGCTGTTGCTTCCCAGAAAACAGTGGTGAGGTGTACAGACAGCCCAAGCAGCACATACACCAGCCAAACGCTGAAGACACCTGAAGAGCTGCTGCCACTTTGGTGCTTCTCTGACTCACATAAGCCGCACCCCTGCTGCTGCTGCTGCTGCTGCTGCTGCTGCTGGGCGTGAAGTGCGGCCTCAGAACTGACCAGCACTCCGCCGAACTCCGCTGGCAGCTGCCCAGAGCTGCCTCTGCTGCGGTTGCTGCTGCTGCTGCAGCAGCCGCTGCAGCCGCTGCAGCCTGCTGCTGATGCAGAGGGCAGGTCCAGCAGCAGCGCAGCAGGAGCTAGCAGCAAGCAGCAGCAGCCCAATCCCAAAAAAAGGAAAGGAGTGCGAGAGACAGCCTCAGCATCTTCTAAATAACGTTCATATGGATGTGCTGGATAAGGCACAGCTGTAAACCCTAAACCCTTAGGGTTTACCAACGCGACCTGCAGCGCGCAGCAGCAGCAGCAGCAACAGCAGCAGCGGTGTTAGGGGCGGGTGAGGCAGCTGCAACGGCTGAAGCAAACGCAGCAGCTGCTGGAGGAATGGCAGGAGCAGCAGCAGCAGGAGCAATAGCAGCAAGAACAACAGCAGTGACAACAGCAACAGCAGCAGCAGCCGCATGACAGAGTGTGGGAGTGCGCCCTGCGGCAGACAACCGCAGCAGCAGCAGCAGCAGCAGCAATCACAGGACAAACAAAAGCAGCAGCAATTTCAGGATACGCAGAAGCAGCAGCAGCAGCAGCAGCTGCAGCTCCAAGGGTCACCTCGAGAGCAGCAAAAAGAAGGGGACTGGCGCTGATTCCCGAAAGAACAACAGCAGCAGCGAGTCCCCTGTGGTCAGGCCACGCACTGCAGCAGACACAAAGAGAAGCAAAGTAAACAAAGTTAGAGAAAACCTCAAACCCTAAACCCTAAACCCTAAACCCTAACGACGAACCCTAAGGGCACGCAGAGACAGGCGTTGGAGCTGCAGAGGAAGCAGAAAAAGAAATAAGATACACAAAAAGACGCAGCAGCAGCAGCAACGGACGCAGCAACAGCAGCAACACACGCAACAGCAGCAACCGCAGCAGCAGCAACAGCAGCAGCAGCAGCAAAACGGAGCGGGGCTCACAGCCCCCCAGAAGGGGTGAGCGCATCGGGCCATCAAAGAAAAATATAAACAACTCAAGGAGTAAAATAATGTGAAACAAATAAAATGAAATGAAATAAAATTAAAAAAACAAAGTAAATAAAATGGTGAAAAGACAAAAAGAGCAACGGGACTGTAAATCAGAAAAGAGAAGCTTCAAAGAAGCTTGAAGAAAAGATGAAAGAAAGAAAAAGAGACAGAAAACAGACAAAAAAAGATTAAAAAGAGATTGAAAATAAACAAAAATGAAACAAAAAGGAAACAAAAAAGAGAAAAAGTGAAACAAGAAAAAGACAAAGACAGGCCAAAGAGAAACAAAATAAAAAAGACAGAAGAGGAGACAAAAAGAGAAGAAAAATAAATAAAGAGGACAAAGAAAAGACAAAAAGAGACAAAACAGGAACCCAAAAGGGAGACTAAAAGAGCCAAAAGGAATTCAAAAAAGGATCAAAAAAGGGTGAATAAAAGAATTTGAAAAAAGATTCAAAAAGAGACAAAACAAGTCCAAAATAGAAGAAGAAAACTCGCCAAAAAGAGGCCCGAAAAAACCCCCAAAAAACCCAAAAAACCCCAAAAGTCTCAAAAGGAAAACAAAGACGAAAAACACTTATAAGAATTAAAAAAATAGGAGCATTAAAAAAGTATTAAACAGTAAAATAAAATAAAATGAAGAATAAAAAGAATAAAAAGAACTAAAGAAAAGAGAACCAAAAGAATAAAAAGAATGAAAGAAAAAAGAATGAAAAGAATAAAAGAATAAAAGAAAGAAGAGTAAAGGATAAAAAGAATAAAAGAGTAAAAGAATAGAAGAAACAGGAATAAAAGGAATAAAGGAATAGAATGAAGAATAGGAAGAATAAGGAGAATTAGAAGAATAAAAAAACAGATTAAACAACCAAATAACCTAAAAAAAGAACAAAAAAAATAAAAGGAATAACAGAAAAGGGAATAAAAGAGTAAAATAAAAAGAAGAAAAGGGTAAAATAAAAAGAACAAAAAGAATAAAACAAAAAGAACAAAAAGAAGAAAAGACCCACAGGGAGGCCGCAGCGAGGGGGCAGGGCCCCGCGAGTCCAACAGCAAATCCGGAAAAAGCTCCGCAAAAGAAAATGAGAAGAAAAAGTGAATTGCAAAAAAAGAAAGAAATGAAAAAAGAAGCTGAGGTGCACGTACACCCCAACAGGCTGCAGCGCCCCACACCCCACCGCCGCTGCGCCCGCAGCCCCCACGGCAAAGACACGCACAAAGCCCCCAGCGCTGCGCACACGCAAACCCTAAACCCTAAACCCTAAACCCTAAACCCTAAACCCTAAACCCCAGGCCCTGGGCCCTGGGCGCTGAGTGCTGCAGCAGAGCGAAGAGGGTTGCAGACAACAGCGCGAATTCGAAAGGGTGGAAACGCCAGGTGCCAAGGTGCATGCAAAGCCAGCCCCGCTAAACCCTAAACCCTAAACCCTAAACCCTAAACCCTAAACTCTAAACGCTGGCTGGAGACTCTCAAGGAGGTGAGGCGGCGGCAAAGCAGCAGACACCAAATAAAAATGAGGGACTTTGAGGCAGCAAAAAAGAAGCGAGCATATGTACGCGGAGGAGGGACGCCCTTAGGGTTTAGGGTTTAGGGTTTAGGGTTTAGGGTTTCGAACCCGCAGTGAATATCCATCCCAGCTCCGAGTGGCGTGTGCTGCTGCGCCCCTGGTGTCTCAGGTAAGAACTCAAGTAGGGTATAAGGAGTCCCAAGCTGTACATACACCCCAGCACCAAGTTCACCAGAAAGCCCCCCAGCAGCAGCAGCAGCCGCTGCTGCAGCGGCAGCAGCGCAGCGCAGCACGCATGCGCTGGCTCTTCAGGTGTACAGACACCTCCGCAGCAAGCCGCTGCGCCGCAGCGCGCTGCTGCAGCACGCCCACCGCAGCAGCTGCTGCTGCTGCTGCTGCTGCTGAGCGCACTGCAGCAAGCGCCTGGCGCGCAGCTTTCGCCATTGCCTTGCTGCTGCTGCGGCTGCTGCTGCTGAGTCTGGAGGTAGTAGCGGTACTGCTGTTGTTGTTGTTGTTGCTGCTGCTGCAGGGTCTGAAAGTTGTAGCGTTGTTGATGCTGCTGCTGCGGCGGTGGCTGGAGGTAGTACCGCTGTTGTTGTTCTTGCTGCTGCTGCTGCTGCTGCTGGATCTGCAGGTAGTAGCGTTGTTGCTGTTGTTGTTGCTGCTGCTGCTTCTGGGTCTGGAGGTAGTAGCGTCGTTGTTGCTGCTGCTGCTGCTGTTCTTGCCTTATTTGTTCCAGATGGCACTCAAGCTGCTGATGCTGCTGCTGAAGCTCCCATTGGAGCTGTTGTAGCTGCTGCTGCTGGAAGCTCTGATGCAGGTGCTGCTGCTGCTGGAGTCTTTGCTGCAGGTGCTGCGGCTGCTGCCGCTGTTGCTGTTCCTGCTGCTGCTGAAGTTTTTGCTGCTGCTGCTGCTGCTGCTGCTGCTGTTCCTGCTGCTGGGGCTGCGTATGCTCCCGCGCAAATGAGGGACTGGCTCTCGGCAGCGCCTGCATTGTATGGGGAGCAGCAGAGTTTAGGGTTTAGGGTTTTGGGCGCCTACGCGCAAACCCTAAACCCTAAACCCTTGACCCCAGAGCTGAAGCCGGCTGGCCGCCACTCTGCACATATAGCTGAGTGTTGCAGGATTTGAAAAACTCTAGCTCAGGGTTTCAGTTAGGGGCGCCCCTAACCCTTAACTGAGACTCTGACCTAGGGTTTAGGGTTTAGGGTTTAGGGTTTGAACGCGAGATCGTGCGCTCTCCAGCGTACAGACACCCGGCGGGCGGCTGACCGGCTCGTTACTTTCTCGAAGTTGGAATTTCTTATTTCACATAAAAAGAATTTCGGAAGAACTGGTGGAGCCGTTGTTGTTGCTGTTAAAGTTTAAAAGAGAGCAGATTCTGGGGTGTACAGACACTCGAAGTGTGGCAGGCGAAACCTGCTCGCAGCCCAGCGTTCCTTTGCGCTCCAGATTAGCGGAAACTTCATCAAATTACTAAATTCAAATTATAAATCAAATTTTCCTCCGATATATTACGAGGAAATGCACAAACCCAAACAAATAAAAGCAAGCCCCAACCCCGGGGGCCCCCTGGGGGCCCCCAGCAGGAGCACACAAAGGGGGCCTCTGGGGCCCCCAGTGGAGTTTCTGGGGGCCCCTTGAAAGAACTTAAAAGTTTTTTAATTTAGTTTCTTAATTTGGGGCCCCTCTTGCCTTTGTTGCACTTAGAGGAGTGTGAAATGGTTGAAACTTGAACAAGTGGCGAAACCTGAATGAGTTCCAAAGGAAGCCGATGTCGCTGAGTCAAAATGTGCGAATTTGAATTTAAATTTAGAATTAAATTAAATTGAATTAAAAGAGTTCATCTACCTCCTCCTTAAGTTTCCCCTTTCTTTCGTTGAGTGCTCTTAACTCCTTGTCATCGCTTGTCTTTGAGTTACTGCAGGGGTTGTCTTGCTGCTGCTGCTGCTGCTGCACATGCTGCTGCTGCTGCTGCTGCTGCTGCACTAGCGCTCTTCTACCTGCATCCATGCTGCAGCAAATTGCCCCTCTACTGGCTTGTTGGCTTTTAGACTTCCCTTGGCAGCTTTTAAGTTGAGAATTTCGTGGGCAAACCCTAAACCCTAGGGCTTAGGGTTTAGGGTTTAGGGTTTAGGGACCCTGTGGAGGGTTCAGGACCCCAAATGGCTTTCTTTTTTTGGCCAAATTGTTTTGTTTCTCGAACTCCTGCAGCCAACAACTTGGCAAAGAATTTCCCAATTTGAAAAGGACTTAAACATAGAAAAGATCTAGGCTTCTCTTGCTGGCTTTTCTGTTCACGTTTTTAAAAATTTCTTTCGAAAAATGAAATCTTTTTGAAATGTTTAAAAGACAGAAGATTCTTTTCAGAAGTGCCATTCAGAAGCATTTTAAAAATCAAAAATGAAGGGAAATGAAGAAATAAAAAAGCTAAAAGTGGCCAAAGAAAAAGCGGAAACTGGGACAGGGGGTGCATCTGGCTCGATACAATCTTTTGTCCAGTTGATTTAATTTAATTTATTTATTTGTTTTAAATTTAAATTTATTCATTTCACATTAGACCTTCAGCTTCCTTCGAAATTCATTTCCTTTGACTTATCAGACAAAATGGAACTTCTCGAGGACTCGGCCGTGCGAAGTCGCCATTCTCAGCTGTTCGTACACTGCGTAATCTTTAGAAATTCGAAAAAGAATTTACTTTTATTCCTTCCCAAAACTCTGCAGACTCGTTTTGTGGCCTCGTGGTAGAAAAAGTATTTATGTGTCTCATTAAATGTGTAAAAGGAGTAAAATTTGTCTCTCTTTGCATGCAAAATAGACAAAAAGGGAGACTTAATTGTTAGGGGTGCTTCGTTTGTCTTTTTCTTGGCCTGTGGCTGCATAATTTAACACTCAATATTGCAAGTCACCAGAGTGTCCACAAGCTGCATGCAGAGGAGCTAATAGCTGAACTCCGGGCTTTCTAGATCTCGAAAAAAATACACTTATTTTTATTTAGTTGAAATTTTAGTTAAAAATGGAGGCCAAAATGGTAAATACAACTTGTCTGTAGACGGAAAAAGAAGACACACGTTTCTCACGGCCATGCGGGAGCCCCTGGCTGCACGGGAAGCTGCAATTGTTGTTTCTAAAATTCTGGAAGGCTCAAAATGCGAAACTAATTATTAAAATAAATATAATTTGAAGTATTATTGAGTTTTTTTTTGAAATAAGTTCGAGTTGAGGCCCGGTGTAAGCACAGTGGAAACCCCTGGGGCTGCACGAGTGGGCGCGCGCGGCGGCTGTTGAGCGAATTCAACTTTATTTTGAATTAAAAATAAAAACGTTTCAGCAATTGAAATTAAACTTTGTTTTAATTGAGAGTCTAGGCAAGGCTTAGCGGAGCCTTCGCCGCCGCAGAGTCGGTAGTGGACCTGTGTTGCAGGGCCTCCCGGGCGCCTTCGCCCGGCGCACACCCCCTTGAACAAGAGGCATTATGCTGGGTAAATTCTTAATGAAGTGGAAATAATGAAGAAGAATGAATTTTGTTTGTTGTTTCATGTGTTTTTAGGAACTTGTTGCAGCACGGCTGCAACCAGGATTGGGGCTGGCTACGGCAGCAAATGTGTGCATGGTGCAGTGAATTGGCTGCGCCTGGGGATCGTGTCTACTTGAATACATTGACTTTAAGGAGCTTTTTAAAGGAAGGAATAGAAAACAAGTATGAAGCAGCAGTCGCTGCGGCGCGGGCCTCGGCTTTGCAAAATCTCCAAGACTTGGCAACTGGAACTCGTCACACCCATGGCTCTTGAGATCTAGTGCTCGGCGTTGATTTCAAGTTTCGCCTCTTCCGCGCCTCGCCATGGACAACTTGCCACTTCTTTTTGCATTTTTAACATCATGCTTTCTCTCGAGACAGATCCAGGGGGCTGAGATCGCCGCTGTTCCCCGGGAACCCACTTGTTCACTCCGAACAAACACCAGAGGCGTTCCGTTTCTGCAGCCCGGCGCGCCTACTTGCCTGTCTGCCGCTCCTGAAGCTCTAAACTTCAAACCTCCTTCGCATTCAAATTTTGCAACTTATTCCCCGGAAGATCGGCTGCTGCGCCTGCAGCAAGCCGTCGATGATCTGCTCAAGTGCGCAGTTCAGCTTCGTGCAACTAAAGCCCTTGCCTTGCCCCCGTCTTTCTTTTCCCAAACCTCCTTTGTCATTTCTTTTTGCGACTAAGACATTATGGACTCAACGAAGGAAAGCTGCGGCTGTCGGGCTCTGCGCTGCGGAGTTCTCTCCCGCTTTGAATCTGTCGCTGGCTCGGGAAAGCGGCGATCTCGGTGCAGCAAAGACTTTGAATGTTTTCTTTTTTATTTCCATCGAAACGCAAACAAAACTCATTTGTGTGTCCACAGGAAACTCGAAAACCAGAAAGCTCAGCCCGCAGCCTCCCCGCAGCTTCAAGAGCCCGCCGTGGGAAACGCCCATGATATTCTCTTCGCCGTGCGTCGGATCGAGGTGAGACTCGACAGCTAGTCACCAGCTAGCTAGCTAGCTAGCCAGCTAGCCAGCTAGCTAGCCATTTAGCCAGCTAGCTAGCCAGCTAGCCAGCTAGCTAGCCAGCTAGCCAGCTAGCTAGCTAGCTGGCCTGTGCGATCCGCACCTCTTGACCGCGCTGGCTAGCTGGTCAAAGGCAGGGGAGCTTTCAGAGCCCCTGCGTTGCATTTTCTCGAGTAAACAAAAGAACTTCGATGCTAAACTTCTGTATTTTTGTTTAATTTGAATTCTTTTTGTATTTTTCGTCTCAGTTCACAGCAGAGCCTTCTTTCATTGAACTCGTCTCGCTCACCCGGCGGCGAGATGAAGCCTTCTCGTTGGGTGAGGCTAATGAATTCAGTTCCACGGCGGCCCCCCTCGCCGTCTAGCTAGCTAGCTAGCTAGCCATCTTGTGGAGCAGCTAGCTGGGCTTTCTGTGGCCTTTCTGGCTAGCTCTGCCGGCTGCCCGACGGCTAGCTGGAGCGTGGCTCGTCAGAAGCTAGCTGTTCAGGTAGCTGTCCGGCTCGCTGTTCAGCTAGCTGTTCAGCTAGCTTCTCAGCTAGCTGTTCAGCTAGCTGTTCAGCTAGCTGCTGCGGCCTGCGCAGATTGACTTGTGTTTAACTGCAGCTCTGTCTTCGGTTCTTCTGGTGGTTTGCTCCCGCGAGGGTCTGCTGGAGGCGCGCAGTGTGTCCAACCCTGTGAGCTCAGTGGCTCTGAAAACGGCGCATGCAGCCCCAGTGTTGAGCCTTTCTGTCTTTCCCCAGGGTGACGGTGAGCATTGCTGCTGCTGCTGCTGCTGCTGTTGCTGCTGCTGCTTTTCGGGTGTCTGTACACTGCGGGGGCTCTGCAGGACTGGGCGACAGTGCGCACTGCTGCTGCTGTTGCTGCTGCTGCTGCTTTTCGGGTCTCTGTACACTGCTGGGGTTCTGCTGCGTGCGCCGTGGCAGCAGAACTGCGAGCTGCTGCTGCTGCTACGCTCGCCACCGCAACACAGCAGCAGCCTCTGCTGGTGTGCTACTGCCTGCAGTTTTCGCAGTTTTGACAACAGATGAAGATGGAATTGCTTTAATTCATATTCTGTCTGCAAAACGAAAAGAGCCATCGCCTGCTCTTGCACAACAGGGTCAGCCGCTGCTGCTGCTCTTTCTGCATTCCGCAGCCTCACACTCATGAGTACGAACATCTTCGAAAGTCCTTTTCTGCGACTTTTGGTGTGGGGCCGGAAATCCCTATGCAGTAAAATGGCTTAGTTTCAGGTTTTCTTTGGACTTGTGCAAATAAATAATTGCTTGGCTCCTGGCCTGCACGTGAAAACAGGAAATTTGAATAAAGTCTGGACCCTGTCTGCACAGCAAGATGTCTTGTGCTGAGGTGTACCTACACTCAGGCGGGGAGCCTCTGGGTGACCCCAAGTCAGAGCCTGTGTTGCGGCATTTATCATATGAGCCCTTAATTTTGTCTTTGGCGCAATCGGACGCTTTCCAGGT